CCCCAAAACCCCAAAACCCCAAAACCCCAAAACCCCTCTCATTTATATAAAAATAGAATTAAAATGTCATATAATAGAGGCAGAGGAAGAGGATATAGAGGCGGCTATGGAGACTACCAAAATCATAGAGGTGGATATAACCACAGAGGAGGTAGAGGCCGTGGACACAATAATTACTCAAGCTACAATAGCTACATGAACCATGGAGCTAGAGGAGGTCATGGTATGCCTATGCCTCCAGGCCCTCCTGGTACAGGCATTGTTATTCCACCAGAAATGATGGCTGAATTACAGAAGAAGATTCATGAGAAGTTCCCTGATGCTAAGATCCCATTTGTAACTGAAAACTTTATGAATAAGATGCCTCTAACGATTCCTGTTTCTAACATGAGGTTCAAACCTCCTATGCATTTAGTCCCCAACTCATCAGGATATTATGGAGATTCAAACAAGAAGAACAAAAAGAAAGAGGAGACTAAGAAGCAGCCTGAAGAAAACAAGACTAAGGAAGCACCAGAGATATTATTTGACAACAGCAATCTTGATGAGAAAGTCATTTCTAGACAAGAAATAGAGCATTACAAAGAACTTGAGAAGTACGGCAATAAGGAATACCTAGATATGAAGATCAAGGAGAAGGCTAAAGTCATTATGGAAAAGATGAAGAAAAGAGCTTCTGATGCTTCACCAGAGAATATCAAGGAAATTTATAAGGAAATCTTCACCAATATGAAAGAGACAGTCAAGAAGCTCAAGCAGACTATGATGGAGAATATCCAAAAGAGAATTGAAGAGAATATCGCTGCTATAAGAGCTGAGATCCATAACACTCAGAGAATTTGTGAGGATTTTGAGTATGTGTTCTGTAAAGGAGAAGACTTGAGCAAAATTGAACCTTCCAAAAGAAGAGAGAAAATCGATATTCCGAAGGAGTTCAAGATTGACAAACTTATTGAGCTACAAGAGAAAGAGAAGATCCAGAAACACATTGAGGAGTTGCCTCCGAATGAGAGGATCGAGACTCAGAGGAACATCACTATATGTCATACTTATTTCACTGACTTGATAGCCTCGATAAGACACAAGTTTGGAGATATCTCGAAATTCGAGGAGTTAGACTATCTCTCAAAGAAGGATATTGATGAAGTTGTTGAAAAGGTCATGGCTGATTTTGTTCCAATTAACCTATTCTCAGAGACCAGAGACACACTGAAAAAGGGCACCAATCCAGCTCTTTACTCTTTTGAATGGAATTCGAATCTGGTGAATATCTACCAAATTAAAGAGAGAAAGAGTGAATGTAGGGTTGTCAAGTTCCCAAATGGCTTCCCTATATTCTCTCGGTTAGCCATCACTTATGAAGGAAGGGTATTCCTCACAGGTGGGTTTTTCAAAGAACTGGAACAATCTCTCAGGACTGTATATGAATACATTGAAAAGGAAAATAAGATGAAGAGAAGAGCTAATATGATCTACAGGAGATCTGACCACTCCTTAATTTACAACAAGGGATATATCTATGCTGTGGGTGCTTTTGTAGAAGGTAAAATCTCTAATTCAGTCGAGCGATATGACGTTAAGAATAATGTCTGGGAAGAAAGAGACTTTATGAATGTTCCCAGAGCAGGAGTTGGTCTATGTGTCTTCAATTCCAATTACCTGTTTGCCTTTGGTGGAAGAAATGAATACAACACTCACCTAAATGTGATCGAATCTTACGACATTGCGAAAGACATCTGGAGGGAAATAGACTATGCTAAGACAGAACTCTGGGAAGAAGGAGCGTATCTATCTCAAGCCCATCAGATTTCAAAGGATAAGATTATTATATTTGGAAAATCAGGTGGTCATTCTGAAGGAGAAGTGAAATCATGATATGAGTTCTCACCAGAGACTGGAGAATTCACAGAAGCTACTCACCTATCAAAACACTCTGCTTTCATTAACTCTGGTATCTGCTATGATGACAACCTTTACTATGTTGGAAGTGGGTTTAGGATCCACAGGTATAACCTTGATGAGAAGAAATGGTCTATTGAAGGGAAGAAAACTAGCGAAGAATAATAATTTTTGAATACAAAGCTACTACACACCAAAATATATCTACAGCCTGTTTTAATTGGCTAGAAAAGTTTCAATATGGGAGGATAAAATAGGGGTTTTGGGGTTTTGGGGTTTTGGGGTTTTGGGG